TTATGCATAGATTCCCACAAGCCCCACTGCAGGCCTGGCCCCTGCACTCTTGCTGTGTTCAGCTATGACATGATGGAATGCTGGGGTGGGGAGAACAAAGGAGCCCACATAGAGGCACGCATATTGGGCATCCATAGGTGTGGGGAGCTGTGTGGAAGCACAGGCAGAGTGAAGATGGCCTTCCTAATAGCAGCCTTCCTCAAGTGCTCATTGCAGGAGCTGGGAGGATGGGGAGGGCCTGATTAGCCAGTGCAGAGCCACAGAGCAAAACCTGCCAGGTAGTCTGGGCACTGAGCAGATGCTTGAAGGGCAGAGCTGAGAGGAGTCCAAGGCTCAGGAGTGCTGCTGAGACAGAGGAAGCAGGCAGCAGCACAGGCCAGAGGCCAGCACTGGGCTCCAGGGGGAATCTTCTCTATTGCAGAGTCTCTCCTTCCCATAGTATCTGCTAAGGGCCTACTCAGAGACAAGTCTCTGCATTCAGAGCAGAAATCCAAGCCAGGCTGGGACACACAAGGTGCAAAAGCCAGGGTGTATCCACCCTGGACAAGTGCCCAGTGGAGTTCAGGAGGGAACATGAGGGCTTGGGCTCAGTGTGCAGTAATGCATCAAAGAAAGGGGCAAGGACCGGTGAGGGAAGGAGGGAACAGCAGAAGGCACAAAATACTGCAGGACCTTGCTAGGCATCAGATCACCTGAGGCAGGTGGCCATGGAGGCAAATGAGGCTTGGGAGGGCTGGCCTGCTTGGACATTCGTGGCTCTAGAGTACAAGCTGATTTGAGGGGCTGTGCTTCATAGAAAACAAATAACATCCCATGGAAACACTTTGAATGTCAGAGACTGCTCTTTCCCTCATAGGCAACCTCAGAGAGAGATTCACAGACACACAGATCCACAGAACAGAAGTGAAAACACAGGAGAAGTGCAGCACAAATACACCCAAAGGGATTTTTGATGAAAGTGTAGCATCCATTCATAGAAGAAAATGACCCTTGGCAAGTAAGCACAAGTACAACATTTTATATTTTTAGCGTGCTGTAATGGTGCACCAATGTAACCCAAGCACACGGAAGGCTGAGGCAGGAAGACTGCAGTAAGGTTGAGGCCATCCTGGGCCACATAGTAAGTTCAAGGACATCCTGAACTATATTGTGAGACCCTGTTTCAATACATCAAACAAAACTAAAGCAAAGCAAAACAAACAAGAGCTAATCACCACCCCCTACCCTGCAACTTAGCCATTAGGGCCCTGCTGATGAAAATGATTACATACCACTAATCAGAATTCCTAAAATTAGAGAGAGAGAGACAGACAGACAGACAGACAGACAGACAGACAGAGACAGAGACAGAGGCACAAAGTGAGACAGAGAGAAACAGAGAGAGACAGAGACAGAGACAGGGACAGAGTGAGACACATAGAGTGAGAGAGAGAATGAGAAAGAGACAGAGTGAAAGAGAGAGAGAGAGAGAGAGAGAGAGAGAGAGAGAGAGAGAGAGAGAGAGAGAGAGAATGCCAGAGGCTCGGGTAGAGGACAGAGAGAAACAAAATCATTCATATATGGCTGGTGGGACTGAGAATAGTAACCAGAATGAAAATTAGGGTGAACACTTCTCTTAAAAATGTAAAATACAATTGCTATATGTTAAAAAACTGCACTCTGACTTTTTTTCACAGGGAACTAAAACCTCTGTCCCATACAAACATGTATATGGCTATTCACAGAAATTGTATCTGGCAATATTCCAGATGACTTGACATGGGTAATGGGTTAAGTCAACCATGGTATATGCACACCATGTGTTACTGCTTAACAGTAAAAAGGCATAGTCCAGATGCACAGTAACTGGAATGAATATCTGGGATTTGTACCAGATCGAAAGAGGCAATCCCTATGGCCATAGCTCCATTAAAATACCATTTTAGAAAACACAGTTTTGTAGACATGAGCACCAGCAGAGTCTCACATATTTCGAGGAGCTAGGACAGGCCCCTGAGGAGATCACACTGCTCTGTCTCCTGACTTTTGTCAATGTCAGTTCCCTCCTTGTGTCATTGCATGTACTTGCAACAGAAGAGAAAGCGTTTCAAAGCATGTGCATAGCAGAGAATTCATACTCATACTAAAGAACCCTTTTCCTGCAAATCTATAAGTGAAAAGCAGATCACCCAGTAGAGATGTGAACAAGCAATTTAAAGAAAAAGTGTCAGCACATGACAGCTGAATGGGTAATAAATGCAAGAGGAGTCACCCAGTCTCATTCTTGAGGAAAATGCACGTTGAGCCCCTGCGTGAGCACATTTGAAGGAATGAGCAAGCAGCTGAAGAGCGACGTGAAGGTGTTGCCGAGATCTTCAGTATACACAGTGCTTTGGTTTTGAGGTACGCCCAGCCTAGCCTGGGAAGCATGTCAGCTAGATTGGCTAAGCCTGCACATAGACAGATCAAAATCACACCGTTTCTATTCCTACATACATAACTCAAAATATTTACTAAGGGTCGCCTCAAGATAAGTACAAGAATACTCACCATAGGAATGTTTGGCATAGATAAAAAGCAAAAGCAGTTTTAATGTTCTCCAAAGATAAATTTTGGTGTGTTTACAGAGGAATAGGCCACCTTTACGAGAATGAGTGATTCGCAACAATAGGCTACAACACAGGTGGATTTCCTCAATAAATAGAAATAATCCATCTATAGTAATAAATGTCAAGTGTGACTTCTTCAAAATGTTAAAAATCAGGCAAAACTAACGCACATATTTAGACGCATGGGTACATCTTCGACCTTGACTGCTTAAAGCGGTGCGGGAATGGAGGGACAGAAGGAGGATCCTGGAGTTTCACCCGTGTCTTCCTTGGGGGCTGCACACTGATTGCATGGGTGGGGACATTTTGTAAAAGTCCCTGACCTGCTGACTTACAATCATACACGCTTGTAGAAGGTTCAAGAAGCTTCTATGGAAAAGAGAATAATTGCCCGCTTCTTAGTAGCTCTTTCTGGTATTATTGAAGAGGCGAGATGACAAAGTAGTTTTGGCAGGTTCCAGATTAAAGTATCTACATCCACACCCTGTAGACTACCAGGGCAAAGGGAATAGCTATGAAGGCCAAAGTAGGGAAGCCAGAGATTCCTGAAGGATGTCTCAGGTAGAGCGTGATCAGCTGGCTCTGGCTGACTGAGACCACTGGGTGACCCCTCTAGTGAAAGCGAACCCATGAGTTGCAGAACTCTTAAGTCTGTCTTAGGGAGTTTAGGGTTAAGGGGCCATCAGCATTTGTATGTTGGTGCAAGAGCTTCAAATACTAGGCAGAGGGTGTTGTTGTTAGAACTAAAATATTCCCTCAAAGTCTCATGTATTGAGAAATGGGGATAAAGTCTCATGTACTGAGAAATGGGGATTTGAAAAGTGATGGCACTGTGGGGATTCTGTACTCGTCAGTTGCCTTGTGATGAGTCTTTGGCCAAATGTGCGGGTGGGAGGTGGACGCTTCATGGAGGTAGGTGTGTGGGAGGTGAGTCACCGAGGGTGTCCGGGAGGGCGTGTTCTCGTCCCCAGCTCCTCCTTCCTCTGTTTCTGGTTGTCATGGGTGAAGCAGGTTTCTGCTGCAGTGTCCTTCCCCCGTACCGTTTCTGCCTTATAGCCAGGTAACCTTGGAAATGCAGTCCTAGAGCTGCGGATCAAGACAAAACTCTCCTCCTTTAGGGGCAGGCATTGGATATTTGGTTCCAGCAATGGTAAATTGCCCCTTACAGATGGGCAGCAGGGAAGTCGACCGCAAGGGTTTTTATCAGCTGCGCAAAAGCAGCAAAAGAGTACGTGACTCTGCTCACTCCTGACCAGTGCTGTGGGATCGCTCATCCTCAAGCTTAAATACAAGCTAATTTCCAGCCTGCCTTTAATTTCTAGAGCTCCAGAATTCTTAAGACAGTATAATGAACTGCACACAGCTTCATAACAGGGTCCCAAGACACCACTTTGGAATGGCTAGTGGCAGATTAGAGATGGCTGCGTGCCGAGAAGCATCTTTACACGCTGCTCTTGGAGCAATCCCGCCAGCTCTTGGGCCTGAACGTGCTCCCCGGAAACAGCTCCAGGCAGCACTCTTGTGCAGTATTTGCAAACGCACAATGTATGCCCGGAACTAGCTTTGGTGGAATGTGTCACAGGGTTCACAAGTCAGAGATGTGAAATCAGTAACTCTCATGTTTCCCTTTAGGTGTGAGCCCTCGTGAGCTGCTCGTTTTCAAGAACTGTACTTGGAATTGCACATTCGTGTATGCAGCCAATCAGCCAGCGGAGACCCCGAGAAAAACCGGGAAAACAAATAGCTTCTACTTTACTCATTGTTGCAATGGCATGCGCTGCAATTTAGGGGGACCCACTAATGTAGAGAGGGACATAGTAGACGAAAGAGTGATTGATGAGCCACTACTAGAAGGGACTGTGCGCTTGACGGCATCAGCGGCCCTCCTGGTGTTTACCTCCATCCTAGCCAGCAATATACTGATAAGAGAACAGCTCCTTGGCGGGGTCCGCTAGCCCTCCCTTTCCTCAGATCAGTTCTGTGCCGTGTCATCCCCTTGAGACATCCCCAGTCTCCCAGCTGGCCTGTTTATGGTTTGCTATAAGCACAGAATAAAGTCGTTGTTGAAAATATCCATGTGAACAATCGTATGTTCCGTGTGCTCAGGCAGTTACCCTGGTGTCGCCCCTCCTCCTCCCTGTACAGCACACGCTGCCTCAACCCTGTGCATCCATCACCTTTTCTCTTTGAGACACTGTGGGCCAGAAGTCACTGTACAAATGGGTCAAAGTTATCTTGCTATTTTAGCATTCAGAGGTTATTTTAATCAAATGGCAAAATGGCTATGGTGCTAGCCTCCATCCTGCAGGGTAATGAGGTCCCAGCGCCCTCAGACCACGGCCACCTGAGACCCTCTAAGGTGCTGTCATTTCAACTTCTCAAATCAAGCTAAAGGAATTGGTGAAAGTGCCTGGCAATGAGTGACACCTAGATCATTGGGGCTGACTCTGGCACACGTGTTCAGTGCCCCGTGGGCTCATGACAAGCTCACGCGCACTGCAGTGTCCACCCAGTGACAGTTGTCTGCATGGGAGCAACAGAATGACATCCCATTTGCTCCCATGGGGAAGGAAGCCCCTGTTTATTTGGAGTGAGTTGTTTTGGGGCCAGAAATGTGTAGGCTGCTGTTGCAAGGTGGCTGGCCATGGTGTGTTATCAGCTGGAGGTGAAGGTTTTCAGCAGTTGCTACCTCACCCTTTGAATCTAGCCACTCAGCTGGTGTGTGCGCACTCCGAGGTGGTTCTGACGTGCATTTCCCTGCCACCTAATGGCGTTGATCATCTTTGCATGTGCCACTGTCCTCCTATTTTCTATTCAAATAATTTGCTCATTTTAAAATGGGATTCTCTTTTATTACTGAATTATAAGAGCACGTCATATACTTACAATATAAAGCTTTCCGCAGATGAACAACTTGTGCATTCTCTTGATGTGGCCTTTCTTTGCACCTTCTCGAGACAGTCTTTTGAAGCATATCTGTATTCAAATTTCATTAAGTCCAAATTGTTTTGTTTTTATTTTCCTTTATATACTTGGTACAGGGTCTTACTATGCAGTTTAGATTCATAGTGATCCTCCTGCCTCAGCCTCCCCAGCCCTGGGATTACAGCCATGTGCCACTAAGCCGGGTTTCAGGGCTGCTACAGCACACCCAGGGTTCTGGGGCCAGCATGGCATGCAGTACCTGGACTGAACTTGGGACCTTACGCTTGCCAGACAAGTACTTAGACCACTAAGTACTATCTGTGTAGGAGTTATCTCATGAGCCTCAGCATCATTCTTTGCTATGGATGTATGAGGGGTCTCCATGTCTTTTCTCTTTTTTATTTTATGAAAAAAGGTAAAACAAAATTTCATAACACAATAGTGGAATGACAGAACTTAAGGCATTACATGTTGTTATCTCTGAAGTACTTGTTCAGGGTACAAGATATTGGCATAGAAATTTCTCTGATTTGTACTACCACCACCATCGTTTTTAGTGACCTAAGAGACACTAATAGTATAGCTGACTTAGATTTTTTACCTTTTCTCTACTCTCCTTTCCCCCTTCACAATTCCTACTTCCTTTTTCACTTGAACTATTTCTTCCCACTTCGCAGTATCTGTTGTACATTTATTTGTTTATTTAATGCATTTGGTTGTTGCAGGGTCTCACTACGCAGCTCGGGCTCATGGTGATTCTCCTGCATTCAGCCTCCCCAGCTCTGGCATTAGAGGTGTGCACCACTACTACTGAACTCTGGGCCGGCTCATCCCACCCTGGGTGTGGGACTGGAGTGGCACATGGTGCCATGGATCAAATCTCAGTTTCTGCATTTGCTTGAGTTTGCCTAAGCTGGCCTAAGCAGGTGCTTTAGCCAGCTGAGCTACCTCTCCGGCCCCCTGCTGTATATTTTAGAACTTATTTACTCTTTCAGATTCTCACATCAGGGAGACAATATGGTGTTTAAACATGTGAGTCTGATTTATTTCCCTTGTAAGAATCTCAAACTTCAATAATTTTTACCTATGAAAATCTCTACTTTTTCCTTCTTTATGGGTGGATAGGTGATATAAAAACACCACATTTTTACCACTTTTTTGTAGTTTAAAAACTATTTATTACAGAAATGTACATTAGTCTTAAGGAATGTACTTATCAACAGTGTTAGCATATATCTTTTTGAAGTGTAAACTTTATACCTTTAAGATATCTACAGAGATGGCCTATTTACATGTTTTACAGGAACTTCACAGCAAACTTTCACTTACTTCACTCTATACTTGTAGAAAGAGCACAGAGTGTGGGTAAATTTCCACTCCAGTGTGAGCAACAGCCCACACAGCAGAATGAGCGGTGTGAAGGGGTACAGAAGAATCGCCGAGTTTTTCAAAAATGGCAGTGCGCTGTATCTCAGGAAGCTCACATAGAAGCAATAGCCAACTGCAACCAACCATAAGGTATTTCCAACTAAGTAGCCTATAAATGCATCTGTCAGGATAAAATGGCTGATGAAGAAGAGCTGGAGAAAATGCAGGATGACTAGGAGTGGTGTAAGGCATTCAGATGCACATGAAAGGCATAGCCCCACGCCACATCATAGTCTCTGCTCCTGAGTTTCACCAGGTACTTCTTAGAGATGAACTGCATTAAGGTTCATATTTGAAGGCCAACACCACACAGTTGATGAATACTACCCACAGGAGAAGTTTTATGGTTTAAAAAAATCCCATGTCCAGCACAAAAGCAAATCCTATAGTGGACACATAGAGCCAGATACTTAACAGGACCAAGAAAGCAGGAATTCAGCTGTGAATCCATCAAGGCCTGGACTTTCCTTTGTTGGTAGGTGTTTTACTACATTTCCTATTTCATTGGCTGTTTTGGGGTTATTGAGAGTTGTTATATTTTCTTGATTCAGTTTTGGTAATTTGTACCGTTCTAGGAATCTGTCCATTTCTTCTGTGTCTTCTATTCTGTGAGAGTAAAGATTCTCAAAGTAGCTATTGAGAATCTACTGAATTTCCACTGGTGCTGCGGTAGTTACACCCTTTTCATTCCTTATTGCTTGTATTTGAATTTTTTCTTTTCTCTTTTTGATGATGTTAGCTAGGGGCTTACCAATTTTGTTTAATCTTTCAAAGAGCCAGCTTTTTGATTCATTAATTCTTTGAACTAGATTCTTCGTCTCAATTGAATTAATTTCT